GATTGTACCACTGCACTCTCGCCTGGGTAACAGAATGAGACCCTGTCTCAAAATAAAAAATAAATAAATAAATAAATAAATAAATACTTCTAAGCCAAGAAATACTTCTAAGATTTAGTAAGTTAATTTCTGAAAAATGCCTGACATTGCACTAGCATCTATTTCTACTTCTGTTACTATTTCTATCACTAACCAGATATGCTGGTTGATTACATATGGGATGTAAAAGAATGAAAAGGGTCAAAAATGTATCCTAGGCCTGAGTAATTGGAAAGATAGAAATTGATGGGGAGAGCTGAGAGGTGAGGGACTGGAAACATATGCCACCACACTTGGTTAATTTTTTTTTTTTCTTTTTTTGGAGAGTTGAAGCTTCAACTAGTTATATTTATAACCTTACATACTTACCATTTTTTGTGAGAACATTCAAAATCTGTTTTCAATTACACATTATTATTAACTATGGCCACCATGCTGTGCAACAGATCTCCAAAATTTCTTCCTTGTAACTGAAACTTCATAGTTTTTGACCAACACTTCCCTCTTCTCCCCACCTTCTTCAGTCCCCGGTATCCAGCATTGTACTCTCTGCTTCTAGGGACCTTTCTAGGGTCCATGTGTAAGTGAGAGGATGAGGTGGTTTTCTTTCCGCACCTGGCTTACCTCACTTAATATATAACATCCTCCAGATTCATCCATTTTGTCACAAATCACAGAATTTCCTTTTTTTAAGGCTGAGTAGTATTCCACCACGTGTGTGTGTGCACGCACGTGTATCACTTTCTTTTTTTGCAGGTTTTTTGACTTTTATTAAATCCTTACAAAACAGAATACAAAATTCCAGCATTGACAGTTGGTGTAAAGGCAAACTTTTGAGCTCTATCAGTTTGAGAGGTGACAGTGTGCTAGCAGCCCTCACTCTTGCGCCTCCTCGGCCTTGGCATCCACTCTGGCGGTGCTTGAGGAGCCCCTCAGCCCACCACTGCACTGTGGGCGCCCCTCTCTCGGCTGGCTGAGGCCGGAGCCGGCTCCCTCTGCTTGCCAGAAAGTGTGGAGGGAGAGGCGAGGGTGAGAACCAGGGGTGTGCCAGGCACTCACAGGCCAGCGTGAGTTCCTGCGGGCACGGGCTCCGTGGGCCCCACACTCGGAGCCCCTGGCTGGGGCTGCCGGCCCAGGGCAGTGAGGGGCTTAGCACCCGGTCCAGCAGCTGCAGTAGGTGCGCCTGGTCCCCCAGCAGTGCTGGCCCCCCGGAGCTGCCTCCCCATGGGGCAGGGCCCCGGACCTGCAGCCCGCCATGCCTGAACCTCCCCCCGCCTCACGGTGGGCTCCCGTGCAGCCCGAGTGTCCCCTATGAGGGCCACCTCCTGCTATGTGGCACCCAGTCCCATTGGCCACCCAAGGACTGAGACATGCAGACACAGCTCCTTTGGGATTGGCAGGCAGTCCTTCCTGCAGCCCTGGTGCGAGATCCACTAGGTGAAGCCAGCTGGGCTCCTGAGTCTAGTGGGGACTTGGAGAACCTTTATGTCTAGCTAAGGGATGCAAATACAAACCATCACACCCTGTGTCCAGCTCAGAGGTTTAAATACACCAATGGTATCTGTATCAAGCAACCTAGTGGACTTGAGAACTATTTTTTTCTGCTAAGCAATCTGTGGTCTAGCTAAAGGGTTTGTAAATGCAACCGATCAGTCACTCCTGGGTCTAGCTCAAGTTTGTAAAGCGCACCATCAGATGCTCTGTGGTAGCATCTAATGGGGACTGGAGAACTGTATGTCTAGCGTAAGGATTGTAAATGCACCAATCAGCACTCTGTGTCTAGCTCAGGATTGTAAATCACCAATCAGCCCCTTTAAAACGGTCCCAATCAGCTCTCTGAAAAATAGACCAAATTCAGCTTTCCTCTAAAATGGACCAATCAGGCCAGGAATGATGGGTGGGGCCATAAAAATGATCAGGGGAATTAAAAGCAGGCTCCCCCCCCCCCCACCCCCAACCCCACCAAGGCCATCAGTGATGATTAGTTCAGATTCTTCTCTGCCCTGTAAAAGCTTTAGTTTTGCTGTTTGGGTGTGCTGTGTTTTTTTATGAGATGTAGTAGGCCCTGCAAAGGTCTGCAGCTTTGGTCTTTGGACCAGCATAGACTATGAATCCATAGGGAGGAATTAGCAACTGCAGACACGCTGCCCTAAGAGCTATGGCACTTACTGAGAACGAACATTTGCAACACCTGAGGCCAGGGTAGACTATGAACCCACAGGGAGGAATGAACAACTCTAGACACGCCGTCTTAAGAGCGGTAACACTCACCGCAAAGGTCTGCAGCTTCACTCCTGTAAGCCAGCGAGACAACATACCCGCCAGAAGGAAGAAACTCCCCACACGTGCGAACATCAGAAGGAAAAGACTCCAGACACACTCTCTCTAAGAATTGTAACACTCACAAGGGTCTACGGCTTCATTCTTGAAGTCAGACCAAAAACCCACGAATTCTGAACACAAGTTCACCTGGTATGATGTGATTAAGGTGATCTGATGTTTTCCTCCCACTTTAGAAAAACTTTAAAAAAAAAACAAAAAAAAAACCTGTTAGCATTGATACGTGGCTACTGCCGTCCCCCAGTGCTGGGAGCTGGTCTGGGGCCCACAGTGCTCTAGGATCTTCACGCACAGTAACGGTTTTGACCAGTCTTCTAGGTCGCACATGGTATGCGAGGGCTGGGGAGGGAGAAGGAAGTGACTGTCCTGCCTTTGGGGGGAAGAAAAAAACTGCCAGTCACTCAGCTTTCGAGACCAGATGGCTATGGGTGACTGCAGAGGGCAGGTGTCCGTTTGCTTGTTCTTTTATATACGAAAAGGCAGTGAATTCCCTGGTTGCAAAATGTGGAATCACTGACAGGTGAGGCGGGGAGCACAGCTGCCGGGCCCGCCCTATCCCAGGGGTCTTTGGAAGGGGTAGGCCACAGATAAGGGCAGTGGGGACCAGGGAGGGCACAGCCCCCGGCCGCCACGGGACTGAGACCATTGTACGAGATTCGGGAGGGGCAGTGGTGCTGGGCAAACGGTGTCTTGAGGCCCCCACACCTCCCACATCCCCCCAACATTCAAGTATGCTTCGAGAACAGGGAAGCAAAGTCAACCGATGTGTTTGTGTATTTGTTTCTTTTAAAGAAATAAAACTAAACACGACTTATGATCCCCAACCGCGGATTTAGAAGCCAGAGGAGCTGCCCTAGGCGTGGAGTTCGGGGGCATCAGGGTAAATAAATATATACACTGTGTGTATTGAAACATCACTATGTACACATAAATATGCACAATTATGATGTGTCAATAAAAAATAAAATTATAACACACCTACATATTTGTGGTGCAGAGGAGGGTGAGGGAGACAGCGCCCTGGGGTCATTACTCACATTTCATGCGCCTGGTCCTAGTTACTTCATAAGTAGGACCAATAACAACACATACCTCCTGTTGTTAAAAGAATCAAAGGAGATAATCCATGTGCAGAAAGCACCACTGCATCTGACAATACGTGCTGAATGAACAACTACTATTAATTTTTAATTTAAATAACCCCCATGAAGTGAATGGCTGCCACACTGCAGCAGAACTAAAATTTTGTAGTTACTTATTCATTCGTTTACTTACTTATTACCTGTCTTCGCGACCAGCCCAGAAGATCCATGAAGGCAGGGCTGTGTCCCGATCGCCACTGTGACACCTAGACAGTGCTCGGAGCGCACTTGGGCATCTAGAAATGTTTGTTGAATAAATACATCAACATCAAAAGCAAAATAAACACATTAGTAGGATAGGAATGCATAAAAGTATGACTGTACGAGGCAAACAAAATGCAAACAGGATTGCCAATGTAAATCTCAGTAGAATTCAAGGCTAAACTCATGAGAAAACGATTCCCTTTAAACTAAAAACTATATGACCTACAAAAGATACAAGGTGTGAATCTTTATACACCAAATAACAAAGCATGAAAAGTAAACCCATAGTAGTGGCAAACTTCAATTTTCTTCTCTTCCAAGCACAGAGAGAAGGCAAAAATGAATATATTCATCAATACAGTCACATATTCAAGTATCCTAAATAAAACTAACGAAGTCAAAGTAACAGATGTATCTATCAAACTCTACACCCTACAAACAGCGACCACCGTTACTCAGTGGGAGGCTGTATAGGGTGGTGTCTAACACTCTGGAATTCAAAGTCTTGGACCTGGCCCTGGCCCACCATTGGAGGTGAGGGAGACAGTGGCCTGGGATAACTACCCATCTTTCATGGGCCTGGTAGGCACAACAAGTAGACCAATCATAATATGTACCTCGTGTTGTTCTGAAGAATCCAGGATGCATAATCCACATGGAGAAATACCACTGCTTGTCATGGACAATTTGTCAAAATGAGCCAAGCCTACTATTACTACATTATTGCAATAGTTGACATACCATTCATGCATACATTAAAAATGATTTATATTAGGCTCACAAGGATGAAATTATTAGAATTCCGGTAGGGCCAGAAATTATAAAGCGACTCATTTTGATTGTCATAATAGAAAAAGTAAAAATAACACAATATAAACCAAGAGAACGCCTAACACTTGTGGAGTTAAAACCACTTCTGCGCCGGGCGATGGTGGCTCACGGCCTTGTGTAATAGCACTTTGGGCAAGGCTGAGGTGGAGCTGGATCACTTGAGGTCAGAAGTTCAAAACCGAGTCTGGCCACATGGGTGAAACACATCTCTACTAAAAATATAAAATTAGCCGGCCGTGTGAACACCTGTAATCGGCACTACTCGGCGGGGCTGGAGGCAGGAGAATCGTTGACCCAGGAGTGGGAGGTTGCAGTGGCCGAGATCGGTGCCACTGCACTCCAGCCTGGGCAACAACAGCAAAGCTCCGCTCTTCAGTAAATAAATAAGGTAAATAAAGCACTTCTTTTTTTTTCCTTCTTTTTTTTTTTTTTTTTTTTTGACAGAGTCTTGTCTGTCGCCCAGGCTGGCAGTGCAGGGTGGTGATCTCTGCTCACTGCAAGCTCCACCTCCTGGGTTTACAACATTCTCCGGCCTCAGCCTCCCGAGTAGCTGGGACTACAGGTGCCCACCACCACGCCCAGCTAATTTCTTTGTATTTTTAGTAAGAGATGGGGTTTCACTGTGTTAGACAGGATGGTCTCCATCTCCTGACCTCGTGATCCGCCCACCTCAGCCTTCCCAAAGTTTTGGGATTACAGGTGTGAGCCACCGCTCCAGGCAGAGCACTTCAATATACCTTATACATCATATAAAAATGAAAACTATTTGGCCGGGTACAGTGGCTCACACCTGTAATCCGCCAGCACTTTAGGAGACAGAGATCGAAGGATCACTAAGGCAGGAGTTCCAAGACCAGCCTGCGTCTACCCCAAAAAATGAGGGACCCCGATTTCTTACCAAAAAAAAAAAAAGTAATTTAGCCAGACATGGTGGCATGCACCTGTAGTCCCATTCCAGCCTGGGGAACCCAGTGAGACCCTATTGTTTTTAGAGTGAGTCTCTAAAAATAATAATAATAAATAAAGGAAACAAAATAAAAAATAAAAGGGAAAGAAAGCATCTATATATAACAATCATGTAATTAACACAGATCCAAATTTATGAGACATTCTCTGTCTTTAATGATTGCAGACTAAACACTTGACACTTTTCTGATCCTTCTAGAGTCTCTAAAATACAAGTTCTTTTCATTTAACATGATAATGGAACCCAAACAGGAAGGCTAAATAACAGAAACTTTAGAAATCTCAGTACATCCACAGAGACAGCGGAATTAAGACATCCACAGAGACCCAACACAAGGAATTCGCCGCGCTGTCGTCAAGAACCCACAGGTAACACGACATGCCCAAGGAAGCCCACGGAACTTGAATACAACTGAGACGAAAAGGAAGAATGACGCCCAGTGACACATCATCAGATTAAACAACTGCACACACGGAACAACTTGTTTCCTGCGAACCAGGAACCAGTTGCAGCCAATCAATCCCCGTCTCTTTCCATCTCCCTTCCCCTGATACGTACGAAGGCAAACCAGACTGCAGGCCCTGAGCCGCGCTGGGACTACCGTGCGAAAATCGCGTTCCACCCACAAGTGGAGCCGCCCACCTTGCAATCACCGATGGATGATGCGGGAAGCAGCGACGCTGGCGTCTGGTCTCCGCCCAGCATATGACGAGCCGCGGCCAGCGGTTACAATGAGGAAAGCCAGCTCGCACTCCAGAGAAACAAGACTCACCCTGCGCAATCTGCAGAGGCCTCCCAGCCTCCCTACCTGAGTCTCAGCAGCTGGAACTGCGCAATAAAGTCAGTCAACAGCCCGTCGCCCTACCGCGCGACAGATACCAGCCCTTTCTTTAAACCTGAGGAAGCCTATGGAACAAGAGACCTGTAGGCAAGAGATGGAAGGAGGGGAGAACTCGCGGGTGATTGGGCCGGGAACGTTCCCATAGACCGTAAGTGGGGGGGTCAAGTTTGGTAAGTCATTTTTTCATACCAGGATAGGACCTAAGAACGCCAGAGGAGTCGATCTCGAGCCATTTGCGGAAATAAACCAGGTCCGGGGGCTCGGTGCACTGTAAAATGAGGCAGATCAGATGATGAATGGGAGTAGGAAGGACCGTGCAGTTCAAAGAGTAATGAATGATTGAGGATATCGTCATCAGTCTAATTATTTTTGGCCGCGTTTCTCTCAAGTCTGGGTCCAGGGTCTTATCCTTATCAGTAATGCCTCCGATGTTACACCGTAAATATTTTCAAATAACCAGATTTGTAATTCCCCTTCTGCTCCAACGCAAAGAATTTTACTATCCTACCGGCTACGTATCCTCCAACAATTTGGCCACAAAGTTACATCAAATATAGGG